CGCGGACTAATAAACGTCTGGGAAAGGGACAACCACCAAGATGTCGAGGACGGCGATATCGAACCATTCGATTACGCTGAGATATAGCAGTTTGCGAAAGTTCGAGTTTAATTGAGCTTCTCTTGGAAATTTAAACCTTCCACTTCCTCCGTACCTACTACGACAAAGACTGACACGTTGAATTGAGTATTTTCCATCTGTCACGTGTAACATGTCGATCGATATCAAACATAGGTATAGTTGAATTTCTTTCCAATTCTTCACAATGTATTTTATATAAGTTTAGCTCGAATGTATCGATCAATCTGTTGCTGTTATCTAATTTTTAAAAGACGATGATCTACTTCAAAGGATATTGAATAATAGAAAAAGTGCTAGAAAAATCAAAATATAACGAAATTATCTTATAATCAACCTTTTGCAAGGATGATAGTTATATCTTAGACAATTTTAACGTTTTTACTCGAAATTAAACAGGTAGAGTCGGAGAAAAGAAAATTGTAAATTTGAGAAAATGAATTTATCCGTCGTAAGCAAAAGGAGCGTTCCGATCGTAGATTGCAACTGTACAATATTTGTGTTTTCACGAAAGTAAGAGATTTCTGTCATCTGTTCGGATGAAATTGTTGAATGTTAATCGTTCGTTCTCGTATACTTCGAGTCTGTCTTCTATAGAAACGGAGGACGGCTACAGGGACGTCGAGGACAACGATATCGATTCGTAAAATTTAGAACATGTAGACAGGAGACTCGTATCGGATTCGCATCCAAGTTCTATATTTACAGGCGAACAAATATTCAATAGAAATAGGAAATGAAATCACGCACACATACACGGATATAGAATATCCTTTGCTTTACAAAATTCGATTCTTTATCACGTACGCTCGGTTCCAGTAAGAGCTCGAACAGAAATTCCAAGTGGAACGGAGATTTAAAGGGCCGGCCGATTCGCGTGGAAGAATTTCAGGAGTAGAGCGTACCGGTTCCACAACCTGGAAACGATCACGAGCCGTGCAGTTTCGTCCATGCAAGAACGGCGACGCTTTAATACGCGGATAGAGCAGGAATCTCGTTGTGGTTCTGCTCCAATAGCCTGACGGCTGGTTTTCTCGTATGTTCGGTAACACCTACGGTTCTGATCGATTTATGGACGATGTTAACATAACTAACAAACGTCACTGACACACGTCGACGCACGTTTAAGTTGTTATTTCCTTTCTTTCCTTTCTATTTTTCTCTTTCTCCTTGTTGAAGATCCACGATCAGTTGGAGTTGCTTGAATAATTCGAGATACTTAAAAATTATTAGATAGAATTCCAATTACGATAGCTGATCAATGTAATTTAATTTGATAAGAGAAATTTGATATTTTCGTTTTCCCTTCCCTTTCTTTTTCTCTCTTTATTCTGTCTGGTACAATTGTTAGCGTGGTGTAAGGTTAATAAAATGTAGTTCTCGAGTAGATCGAGTGTGTTCGAGCTCGTCGAAGTAATCGAATTAGCCGGTATAATCGAGCAGTCAGCTCGCTCCGTTGGAACATGTGTTACACGGACAGAATTTCGATTACCCTGTAATAGGAACGTAGCGCTTAATAATTTCAACGTGTCCAGAAATGTTATTGTTCTCTAGTCTTATTACTTTCCCGGGGAAAAGACAATGCTATTTCGAGAAATGGAAAAATGCTCGTATTCTTTTTACGTGTCGTTTGATTTATATTACAAATATATCGTATCATATATATATATATACATATTCATATCTGCAAAGACCAAAAACGAATTATACTGAAATATTGTCTTTGTTAATTTTTAGTTGCATAATCGTAAAAGTTTGTATTCCATAAATAGATCAAATTGATAGGTCGAAAGTGCAACACTTTGACAGCCAATGAAAAACGATGCGGTTTTGTAATAAATTACGAAAGCACGAGTGCAGGAAGTATATTTTCTATATTCGTTGTAAACGGATGTTATCCCCGAAGGCTAGCGTCCCACGTGCGACACACCAGTCGTCAAAGTAAGCAAGCAAGTACGTTCAACAGCCTTTGTCCGTATTCAGTGCCCTGTACACGTGCTGACGGTTTCTACGGAGTTGGCTCGATTAAGACGCGTAGCTGTTTCTACCTAGGGTATGTAAGAACATTACATGCAAATACGTGGAACGATAGTCAGGCGTTGTCGCATACGAGGCTATACAGGCTTGCTTTCCACCAACGGATCCTGATAATAATTTCTCAATGAAAAATATCACCGATATTTCCACTGGAACTCAATATTTCGAAGAATTTTTCGATATCGGGAACTGATACACTTTAATCGGCTATTGAAACAGTTTTCTTCTTCTTCCTTCTATTTTTTAAATTCCTCGAACATGTTCTGGTCCTCGTGCGATAGAAACTATACAAAATAATTAAAAAATAAGGGCAGTGAAAAGTATCGAGTTTGCGTTAAATATCAACGGATATTTTTAAGATGTCTTTCACCGACGAACGTTATAAATTAAAAAATTGGCGAAGGGACATTATGTCATAAACGGTATTCTTTAGAATTTATCATAAAATTCACGATGCCCTATATCATCACGTTACGACACACGAATCTCTGAAAAATAGATTATCTTTTGAGAACTTCCACATCCATCGTATATGAGTGAAAACGAAAAGAGTAGTAGTTGATCGACTGCTCATAAAACTTTGCATAATAATATATTCGTTTCCAAACATATAAAGCGACGATACGAAAACAAGCTCGTAGTCGTCTTCGCGTGGGAAACGCTGAAAAATTTCAATCAAATTTTGTACCATTTTATTTCCACAAAAATGGCGTCTTTATTGTACGAAGACGTAAACATACACTGCTGGTCACAAGTATTTGAACGTTTCGTGGCGTTAACATAAATCGAATGCTTTACACTCTTTGTATTCTTTCAATTATCTTATCATAAATCCAAAAATTCATTCGTATTCTATGTACCTTATAACGCAAAATACCATTAGAGTAGAATATCAATAGAGTAAAATCCGTGAATGTATCGAAATAATCGTAACATATACGCGTCCTGGTACTTACAGCCGACAGTGTAGCTGCTTAAATTAAAACGAAAACATACCGACAAAGAGGGGACAAAAGGTGAACCAAGTGAAACTTGGGGGCGGAAAGGAAGAATCGAAACGAAAGGTATCGTCGGTCGAGCGACGACCGAAGATCCTCCTCGAGTTGTGTGTGAAACGATGGCTCGAAAAGAAAAAAAAAAAAAAAACGAGGCAAAGTGAGGTGAAGAGAGCTGACCTACTGTGGCAAGTGGCTCAGGGACGTCGCTGTCCAAATCGTCCCCCCGAACGCCCCCCTCCCTCCTCTTCTAGACCTTCTCCTCATCCGGTACCACACACACAGTATTCAGGTCTTTCTCTCTCTTTCTATCCTGTTTCAGAACCCTCTTGTGGCTACTCTACCATTCCATCTGTACCTCCTTTCCCTCGTTGCCTTCACCCTTTGCCCTCGACCGTGCTCTATGAGGTCGATAACGGCTATCAAAAAATGAAATGAATACACACGAAGGCTTTCCAAGCCTGGGAACTGGAATGCATTGTTTGGTCTGGCGTATAGAATGTAAGGCTGGGTGTGGACTCATCCTTGGACTGTCTGTTTAAAATGGCACCATGGCAGTGAAGAAAGAATCGAAGCAACGAATGGACCGCGGATGTTTATGCATTTATGGACAATTGAAATATAAAGGAAGCTTTCTCACTGTGTGTGTGTGAGAGAGTCGACCCACCATTTCGACCCCACGTATTTTTAAACTGAAATTGAATATACAGAGTGAGAGATTTATTGCAGGAAATTTTGATCCGGAGGATTTTCAAAGTAAAACTCGAATACAAAACGTATTTATCCGTCCAATCTCAGTTTTCGAAGTTTTATAGAAATAAAGAATAGGGCAACGAAACAGCGATACAGTTCCTAAATATACTACGTACAGAGATAAATAGTATTAATTAAAGTGGTGCAACGAAAATAAACAGATATATACGTATTTATAAGATAGCTTTCTATTTCGATAAAAGTTAAAATTAATTTTATCGGAAGACATTGCACGCTTGAGAATGGCACAAATAAATCGAAAACCGTTTACTTGCTAGTCGTAACGTTAAAAGCAGAACTCGTTATAAAAAGGTATTAATGCCATGATCCGGATTTACTCGACTGCAAAGAAAGACCAACTCGTATTTATTTGCAACGTAAATACCTGCGTACTCCGTATAGGAGACAGAACGGAAAAACATTGATGCTGGCCAGAGTTACGGCGGACTTTCATGATCTGTTTCGCCCCTTTCCACGCGGTTCTTACGGCTTTTTCGCGGCGGAACGCCCACCGGAGGAAAGTGAATCATGCCGCGGCCGAGTGAAAAGTAACCAGTGAAAAGTGGCGAGTGCCCGGGTGGAATGGAGATTTGAAAGTTTCTGCCTTTAGCTTCTAACGCCGATTTTCACCTCGACAACGTGGCCACCGACGACGATTGACAATCGAAAGTAGTTAGCTGAAAGCTGGTCTTCTTTCCATCTTGGCTGTCTAGCGGCGAAATGATCGCGTGCTCGATACCTCCGCGCTCCTTTCGATCGAATAATATAAAATAGAGCAAGCAGTGATCAGACTGTGTTGAGAGAAACGTAGAATTGCTGATTTCAATTAGTTTTCTTCGTCGAATAATTTCGCTGTAAATATAATTCACATACAAAATGATATAATACGTTAATTTAGGATAATAATATATTCTATACGCGATATTTCATACGCTAACAAACGATGCTTGAATAAATTGTCGAGACATATTAGAAAGATCGATTTTAAGGTACAGAGCACCAAAAAATCAATCGATATCTCCTTTAAATGAATATTTTTAAGAAGAAATTGCGAAGGGAACGAATATAAAATGTCAACGATTTTCTGTTTCTTTATGTTTGCCTTGTACCAATCTTCCTTTCATTTTTTGGTTTCAGATGTCCTTTATTTGAACCGTGCTCAGGCCTCGCTGCCTGAACAAAACGAGCTATGTCGACGAGTAAGTAGCACGTCAATACATTCTTCTACGACTACCATTGTATCTTCTCTGTTATCGTCCTTCTTTGTTCAGTTTCTTTCATTTCGATACTTTTTCGAACCTAACAGAATGATCTATCGTAATCTTGTGAAACAGAAATGAATGAAAAATCATTATGTAGTACAGATATATCTAATGTATTTTCGATAACAAGAAGAAACAAAATCTCGAAGTATTAACAGTGAGAATCCTTTTATGTAAAGAACAGGCGCTTGAAACGCGGATTTGTTTCTCACAAAAAGGAAGTTGTGTGTTGGTTCTATCTCGAGTTACATCACGACTCGGCGTGCGTATCGAGCGCATCTTCAGCCAGTAGTTTGCTTTGGAATCGGCTCGTATACACGCGAATCGTTCGCTACACCGCGCCATTTGTAATAACGCGATAATTAGTAAACGAGACCGCGCCAAAGTGATCCGCGAAACCTGTTTTCCTGTTTACGCTCACCTCAGTTTGATCTTTAACAGTCTCTCCTGGCCTTCGCGCTAGCTCGTACCGGAATTCTATAAATTCCTCGCCAATGCATGTTGATTCGGCGGTGTCTTCACCGAATACGATTCTTAAATCGAACGTACGCTATTGCTTAAAAATATCCACACGCATGTACCTCTTTCATACGACCATGGTCGTTATCCACCTTCCATTTCGATTTTCTTCCTAATACAAATTTTACAATGAACAAATAAATTGTACAGATAATAATAAATGTAATAAATTAGTAGAAGCATAAAAATTCGTACATCGAGTCTCGTAAGATCTTTGTAAAACATTTTTGTAAGACGTCGATCTGTAAATTCATGGCAATTTGAGTCGATAGGAAAGCTGCTTAAACTCTGTACAGTCGCTCGATCTTGTTAATTTCTCGAGGAAGAAATTGCTTTCACTTTTCCGCATCGTCTCCTAGTGCGAAAGCATCTTCGAGGAAAATTGACGCGGCTAGATAATTCCTAGTTAGTCTTCGGGAATGTTTAACCCTTCCTTTATGGGGTCTACGGTAATCGATAGTATTTTACTAACGAGGACGAAGAAGCAGCAACCGGCAATTCGCATCCGTGGCATCGCGTAGCCATTGTGAATATGCGAAAGTGACATCACTCGTCCTCGGTTACATAAAGATATCGTCGCTAATATCGACGATCCTAATGCATTTATTACGCGAACATCGCCTGTGTGTCGTTTCTATTTCACTCTTCTCTGTAGCCTTGTTAAAAACATTTCCTAACGAATTTTGCCGCAAAGCTCTTTTGTACGCGACAACGTGTGACGTTAATGGTGATTTTTATTCTAATTGAATTTCGTGTTTAAAACCGCTGTTCTCGTATACAATCCTTTACAGTTACGCTGTAGAGGGGAGCGATTTAGTTAGCGAACTTGTCACTTGCAGTACTCCTATACTCTCCTTCCCTAGACCCATACCCGTACACTTCCGGCTTAATCTATTCAAACTCGGCAGAACTCTTGCAGCCCTTCCCAGGTACCGCTTATTGTCCCATACAAAAGTTCTCGATTATCCAAAGTATACTATTAACTTAACTATAAATCGAATTAAAAACACGTTTCTCTCTGGACCAGTCAGCCTAGAAACTTCAATGGACATTTCATAAAAAATATCTGCTTTCTGATAAATTTTTATCGTGAAATCGCTGTCATTTGCCAACGTTAATTAATTCTTTGCATTCGTTGAAGTTTCCACTTCTTTGTCTCGTACACTTATTACGCATTTCGAAAGTTTGAGTAGTTTCGAATCTAACGGGTCTAGATCCTTCCTTATTTCTTACGAATCACAGGCTATGTTCTTCTGGCGAATATACTGATTCATACGGAACAAATTCGCAGAGAACATTGGCCAAGAACGTTCGGATTATTGGTTCCACGGGAGAAACGAAAGGCAGCGCCGCTTCCGGGATTGCGCAAGCACGCGGCGATACTGAACGGGAAAGCGCACAATGGGCGAGAAAAGGCGTGGGTATACGTAGACGCGACCATCGAAATGGTTATTTTCGACGGTGAGGTCGTCTAGGACGCATAAAACGAGCGTTCGAGGACATCCTTCGCGTACACCAACTCTCACTCTGTTCCTCGATTCTATGCCAAGCCCACGGGAGACATAACCCCGTGTGACCTCCGTGATTTCCTGCTCGACCACCACAATCGGGACCATCCTTTCTGCTTCATAGAGAATATAAATATATTATGTGATACACGATGTTCCAGTGACGACTTGCAATTAGAACAAATTTATGGAAGTAGATCGTTACTAGATCGCGGATCTTTATGCAGATTCATAATTGATTAAATAAAAGCTAAAGAGAGGCTTGTAGTTACTTCGTAGCTACTTCATGCAAATTCATAGTTCTATGAACATAAATGTTTAAATAAGGCTATGGAGACGTTTGTTTTAAAGATTCTAGCAAGTACGACAGTTTAGAGATTTTATATATCTCTTAGTGTACTTTACATGTTGCGTAATTATCGATTATTGTAAAGACCCTAGTATTATTCTATTAGCGTGAAGAGAACAATAGTATAATAGTATAAACTTGAACATTGCAATTTTAAGTGGTTGAGTCAGCAAATAAATTAATTACGTAGCTCGTGTTATTCTGAGTGATCCCTCAGTTCAGCCGAAACTCGCCGACAGATTAAAATTATTGTCACAGTGAAACTAAATACGAGATAATCCTTGAGTAATTAAAACGAGATTATTTATTATTCATTTGTATTCATACATTCCTCCATTGTGTTTTAATTGTGCATGTACATACTTACATGTTCTACTTTCGTATCTCTGTTTCTTTATTCTCTGTTTACCACTACGTCTGGCAATACGAACCGCGAAAAGGTTAATACGTATTTCTAATGGTCAGACGGTTTTCCTTCCATTCTAACGAGCCGGTTATGATTCAGTGGCGTGAATAATCGTAGAAAGTCGCTGCCCGATTTCGTTTGTTTTCGTGGAAAACCTGGGACCTTGTTTCTTCTGGGTGTCCTATTTTTTTTCTACCATCGAAATTGTGCAAGTTAACACGTTACGCACGGGTCACCGAGTTTTCCGTATTTTCTGCTCCGTTAGTAATCTCTACGCTCACGAGGGATATCGCGCGCTTTCTTCATCGATCTTTATTGAACGTGGTTAAAATAAATTTCAGAGTCGTAGATTCTTTTCCTTCGGTTTACCTTGGGAATTATTTTATTTACCTTGGAAGTTACTACAGCGCAACCTCTATTATCCGAATATCGGTTTTCCGAGCATCGGTTAGTCTGGTAAATATTGTGCATATTCATTCGACTGTGAGATACGAGCTAGTATACTGTAACGTCCCCGTGAATTGGGGAAAACGTAATCCGCTTAATGATTGAAAATTATTATATATTATATTAATATAAAATCAGGTTAACGATCATGATTATCGATTATTCGATAACCAGTAATCAATGATTAACGAGTAAGGAAAGTATTAAAAGTCGTTGTAACCAATGGCCATGATTAATTTCTTAATCATTCATCGTGAAACGATTACATTTTTTATCACGATTGCAGTCCGTAATTTTCCTGTAATAACGACGCTATGGATATTTCAGTTGTACCGAGTCGTAGAACGCTAAGGCAATCAGAATTATGTGAGAAAGTTTATAAACACATACGATAAAACGTATTGTACAATTTTCAAAATGTACAAATACACGTTACAGACCCTTATAGAATATAAATGAATCACCGAATGATTTAAGAATTATGATTTTTCATGTAGAACATAATTTTAATGCGAGTCATTCAATTATCCAAAAAATTCGATTATCCCATTGTGAACACAATCCTCTTCTTTTGGCAAACAATAATCCACTTGTGTAATGAGACTAAAAAATTGATAGAAAGTGAAGTTGATCGATTTGGCTTGTGGCAGGTTTAGCCGCAGAGAATTGTTTGTGATATACTACGTCAATTTTTCTAGAGAGTTTTGCTTAAGAAAAAGCATTTCTTTCGTTTGCTGAAAACACAGCCAATGAATCCTTTCATATTTTTCCACTTCGTCAGTCGGAAAACGGGTTTGCTCGATAATTCGAGCAATTGAAAACGGTGGACCTGTGGTATCGCGCGATCAGGTCGAGAATCGAGCGGAAAATCGATGGCGAGCACCAACTTTTTTTTTCCACGGTGCCACCCCGTTGAAACGACAGGCCAACCTTAACCTCAGTGTCGATAATCAATGGAATCGATCGTAGGCTCGACATGAAAGTGTCCCAAGGCTCGTCGCCACCGAAGGCTGCGCGCCGTAAAACGGAACCTCAGCGAAAATTACCCAAGAAACCTTCGCGTGTCGACTGCTTGGTCATTCTTGAGCTTCGAATTTCTTTTTTTTTTCTTTTTTTGTTCGTTTGTTCGTGCGTTTAACCACGTATTCTGTACAAAAATCCGTGGGATATTTGGAAAAATATGGTAATGAACGTACGTTGGTTTGAAGAATTCGACGCAGGCCTCGAGCAGATGCAATTCTGTCCGAGTTTAGTTATCCTTGTTTGCTTACAATCACAAGGATAATTATTGTTGATAGATCTTGAGATTGAAAGAAATTGATTAGAGGTTCGAGGTTTTCCTGTGCACTGGAAAGTGTCTCTGTTTAAGGAAGTTGTTTAGAGAGCGGGACAAGTGGAATTCAACCGAGCAAATGTAAAGGTAAGATTGGATTGAGTAATTGAAATCTACTATCGAGCGAACTTAGCCTTAAACCAGCCAAATAAATTTCAAAGGCGTTTAAATGTCTCGAATTAACGCAGATTAAATTTCTTCAGTTTTCTTGAAATCAAAATAACACAGTATTTTTTCCGTAATTGATGGAAAATCGTGACTCCTTGGTAATCACGTTATCGCGTACAGACCTCGATTCCGTGTAATAGATACGACTCGGCATTTTGCCGAACATAGAAAAGGATATTGCGAGTGGAAGAGAGAAGGACTCGAAGA